ATTTCTAACGGGCTGCTAAAGTTAGGGCTATAACCAAACAAAACTGAATGGAATGTTAACTAGGATAATAGATACATTTAGAGAAATCAGGCAAATAGAAAAAGCTGCTACAATCTCAGGCTTTAGCCTCAATTTTATAATATTTTAAAACCAGAATTATTTTCAGATCTCTGCATAAACACAAGCTTCAAGCAAAATTTATCATTTTAAATCATAAATCTCTGTGAGACTTTGGATCCTTAACCTTTCCTTTTGTCATAAGCATTCTTTAAAATGTAAATGCTTAAAATAAAGATGGTGTTTTCTCTCAGTAATCTTGCAGGGGTTTGCTATTTCCTATATAATAAAAATTATAACTGATTTTTATATGTAATGAAAATATTAAGAAAAAAGTGATGAATCAACCCACTGTGGCAAGTAGGTTTACAAGAAATGAATTATTTATCAAAATGGCAGACATTCAAGACCAATGAAACCTTCACCACATTATTGACCCCTGACCATGTCTTTATAGTATTATGTGTAATTTTAAATTAATCAATGAAAGGGAAAGTCATAGATCCTGACTGAAGCTAAAAAAAATGGTGAATTTTTTTTGAAGTTCTAGTTTGTCTAGTATGGTCAAGAACAATTTAAATATACTTCCCTAGAGTGCATTTTCACTTTCAGTAATCACACAGCTTTGATAGGTACTGGGGTAAAGGACTTTTGCTAATTATTAACTGTGTTTATTGATTGGTTCTCACAGCTTTGGAACACATTATCTCTTTTGATCCTCACAACACTCAGGTCTTCCGAATCCAGGTTCCATGAATACACCCTCGAATCATTGAGGAAATCAAATAAAAGTTATTACCATGTAGCAGGACTACCAGTAAAACAAATGTGTTTATCAAAATTTTTAAAATATATATTTTTTTTATTTATTTCTAGGAGAGAGAGAGAGAGAAACAGCGTGAGCAGGGGAGGGTCAGAGAGAGAGGGAGTCACAGACTGAAACAGGCTCCAGGCTCTGAGCTGGCTGTCAGCACTGAGCCCGACGCGGGGCTCGAACCCACGAACCGCGAGATCATGACCTAAGCGAAAGTCGGACGCGTAACCAACTAAGCCACCCAGGCACCCCTGTTTATCAAAATTTTTTAAATATTTATTTATTTGTGACAGAGAGAGTCACAGTGTGAACAGAGGAGGGGCAGAGGGAGAGGGAGAGGGAGACACAAAATCTGAAGCAGGCTCCAGGCTCTGAGCTGTCTGCATGGAGACCAATGTAGGGCTCAAACCCAGGAACCCTGAGTTCATGATCAGAGCTGAAGTCGGATGCTCAACCAACTGAGCCACCCATGTGCCTCTAAACAAATGTAATTTTAAATACATTATTTCATTATTATAGACAAAAGAAAGCAAATAAATACCAATCTTGAAGCATTTCCCTCTTCTGGAAAAAAATATACTCTCTGTCATTGATATATATTTAATTTCAATGATTCTGTGGTCACAACTCAGTAACGGAAACAAAACAAGATCCTCTCAACTCTAAGCTTCTATAACTTGAGGAATGAAGATCGCTTGGAAACAAATTTTTTGTATGTTTTTATTTTTGTTTTATTGACTCATTCCAATCAACTGCACAATGAATCAATTATATTCTTTAACACTGTTATTTATTTCAAAGATTAAATGCACAACATTTCTTCTTGAGCAATAGTCTTCTAGAAGAACACCTTTCCTGTATTTAACCACAGTCCTCACACCTCAAACCTCCTGATTCTCAGTAAAAGACATATTTACCTTGGCTGCTTCAACTTGGACTGAGAGTGTATTGGTAAATTGATAAAAAATAAATAAATAAAAAGTAATTTAATCCAAAATCAACTATTGAACTACACCTATTCAGCATGTATTACTACAGAGCCAGAGAAGGAAATGATGAGACGCCTGCTTTCTGAGCGAGCCTACAATCTTGTGAGATTGCAGTTTCCGGTATTGTCACTGTCCATCAAGAGCACTGGGAACACAAAAGATGCTGAAATTCAGTGCAGCCAGGGCAATGATGATGTATCTGGATATCTTCAATTAAACCTTAAAGAATGGGCAAAACTTCAACAGACAAATATGGGAGAAGGGCTATACCATGAATAGGAGAAAACAATCCACTTTTCAGAGCCTAGAATAGGAGAGAGAGAATATAAAGGCATGGAAAAGAATTTGTTGTCTGGTTTTAGGAAACTTTTTTGTATAGAAAAATGGACAGTCCTTATCTTAGACTTGGAGACGTTCTTAGAGGAGTGGATTTAGAGAAGTGGATTAACTACTTAGCAATTTCAGTTAAATTTACTATCATTTCCTATATGCCACGTGCTATTCCAGGATTATATTTATTTATCCATTTAATATTCATGACAATTCTATAACATCTTTTTTAAAATTAGTATTCCCATTATACAGGTGAGAAAAATGAGACACAGCAATGTTAGGTAACCTTTCCAAGCTCAATCAGTTGAAAAGTAATCAAGATCAATAATAAATACCTCGGTGCGATACTTGTAAAAATACCAAAATTAATGCAAAACAATGACAAACCAAATCTCAAAACTTTAAATAAAGGAAGTATTTTTCCTTTGCCTACGATGTGACCCAGATAGCACTATTAACAATTCTGTTTTTATTTGAAATTTAAAAATTTTTATCATGATATTTTGCATCAATTTTGACTTGTTAAAAATACTGTCTTAAAAGAGAATTGATCATGATTATGGACCTTTTTTTGTGGCCCCTCTAAATTTTGCATCCCAGCAGGTGCCTCATTTGCCTCACCCTAGCCCTGGCCTAACCAAGAGGAAATTCCACTTTTCCATATCAAAATTCTTTCTTACTTCTTCACTAGAAGGAAATTATTTCCTTTTATTCTTATTTCTCCATTAAAAGAAATTCTTTCACTAACAGGAAAGGAATTATTGCTAAAACTGAAACTAAACTTAAGTGGTCACTCTGATTTTTAAGTTATCTTGTGTCTAGATCACTGGTTCTCATAATTTTTCACTAGAAGACGGAAGAGAACACATGATTCCTACTTTACAGATAAGGAAACTAAGACATATAATGCCTCAGTGACAATGTTAAAACTAAACTTCTTGGTTCTGCATGGGACATGCTAGATCAGAAGCTTCTCTGGGGACACGTTGGAAGAAGTAACAATATAAAGTATATTTATGGGAGCAAATCTTAGCCAGATAAGTGGACTGAAAGAATGAGTTTTAGTAAACAGCATGTGTTTCTGAATGAGGCATAGTGAGCTTGAATTCCTCCTTGGCCATGCACAGTTCCAAAGCCTCAGTTTTCTCTTCTGTAAAATGAGCCTCATTATACCTACCTTTTATTGTTTTGCTTAGGAGGGAGAAAGAAAGAGAATATAGTTAATAACATTTATCAATCAGTATTTCAACCTATAAACACATGACATTCACAAAATAGGAAATCCTAAGAGTTTTTTCTTAAAGAGCCTATATATAGAATATATAGAAGTTGAAGGACAGAAAACACAAGAAGGAAAATGAACCCAAAGGGGCAGTTGCTACAAACTAAAAAAAAAGAAAAAGAGAAAGAAAAACCCAACACACACACACACACACACACACACACACACACACACAAAACAGAGAAAGCAACAGAGTTGTTGTCTTTAAACGTACAGTGACTTTTGGTAGAAAGGACCAAGTAAATAAATATTCTGACCGCTTTCCCTCTGATTTCTAATCAAATTCTAAACTAGAGGTCATCAAAGACCAGTTGCTTTAGTCTATGCAAGTCAGCCCTAAGGGAAGACCAAAGGATTTAGAAGGATGGAGGAGGTAATCACGAGCAAAAGACGCCTACTGTCACAAAATAGTAGCTCATTAGTGAACATTTTCTATCTAACGGACACAAATCATTTAATTGTGTCATCTCATTTGTACTTTTGAATTTTTTCTCATAGTCATGTAATGCCTATTTAAAAACATGAATTCATTAAGGAAAATCGAATTGTATATTATTAGTGACCTTCTGGGGACTGTTGTAATTTGGGAAACAGTGAAAGAAAAATGCACATGCATAAAAATCAGTTTTCTAAATCTTTAGATCCTTAGTGATTGGCTTTTTCAATAACTAAAGCTTTTGCCATACCAGCTTCTGTTAAAAGAATGCAAGGTAAAAAGGAAACTTCCACATGCGTGTTACAGGGCTGCAAAAGCGAAAAGTGTAGAATAAACACTGAGAAATCACTCTCTTGAAGCCCGGTAACAGGCAACTCAACAAGGCAAGTTGCGCCCTTGATAACAACACCCCAGGGGGAGGGCTGCTGTCTTTCCTGGCCAAAAGAAGCAAAGAGCTTAACCACAGCGCCCGAATCCCAGCGGATTTACCGAGCTCTGTCTTCTGCGTAAGACCACCAGCCGTCCAGGGTTTCGTCTTTTCCAAGAAACTGACATTTTTGTTTTTCACGGCATTATCTAACTGGAAAGATCAAGACAGAAATTTCAGCAATCAGAGATGGAGAGACTGGCAAGTGAAACGATGGCGTTGGTGATTATGAAGATTGCTATCTGGGTAATCGGTTTTCTTTTTAAGAGAACGTTGGCGCCCACCAGAGTTTCAGTCGTTAATCTCCTCCATCTGCTGCCAGGGGGGAAAAAGGTCCTTCCTTAGACCAGGAGGCATTTCCAGGAGTTTCTTTAAGTTCCCTCCGGATCTCACGATTTCTGAGATTCTGATTCTCCCGCTAACTGGGAGGAGGGCGTAGGCGGTGGGTACTAGGCGCTTCGCTCAAATTGAGAGGGGATCCCCCGCTTTCCGAGCAACCGGGCCTAGGGTACTTAGCCCCTCCCGCTTCCGAGCCCCGCCTCCCTGTGGGGCGAGCCCTATAAAGAGTGCGAACCGAGTCCCTTCTACCCATCCCGGGTGAGTCCGGCTTCCACGTAGAGCTGGTCCCGCGCCCCTTCCCCCGAGCGCGGCGCGCAGGAGCCATGGCCTCGGCGCTGTACCACGAGGAGTTCGCCCGGGCCGGCCAGCGGGCGGGGCTGCAGGTCTGGAGGGTCGAGAAGCTGGAGCTCGTGCCGGTGCCCGAGGGCGCTTACGGCGACTTCTACGTCGGGGATGCCTACCTGGTGCTGCACACGGCCGAGGCGAGACGGGGCTTCACCTACCGCCTGCACTTCTGGCTGGGTAAGGGGGTGCGGGCTGCGAGACCCCGGCGCGGGGGGCTGAGATGCGCTGGCTCGAGGGGGAGGAGGAGGTGCGGGTGATGTACGGGGAGAGGGCAGCCACAAACCGGGCGAGCCTGGAGGCGCTCCCCCTCCGGGCCTCACCCTCCCTTCGGACCTCCCCCTCCGGGCCTCCCCCTCCGGGCTGGCCGCCTTCTCCGCACCGGAGCCCGCTGGTGCGAACGCTGCTGCAGACGCGGGGCTCGGCGAAGTCGGGAGCAGTCTTACCCCTTGGGCTTTGACCTTTGTCAGGCCTGTCACCCGGGCTTCGAGGATGCTTCCTCTAGCTTCTCCCCGCTTTCGCCTTCCAGTGTGCACCCCACGCCCGCCCAGCGCGGCTGCTGAGCGCACCGGCTCTGGCCGAGTCCCGCTCGCCTTCTGACGAGCTCAGGCCTGGTTTCACTGTCCGCGAGGAGATGCGGTGGGACAAGTTTGCGGGCATCCGCCGCAGCTGGCAAGAAGTACACCCCCCCCCACCCCGCCCTTTCTCTAATTAATTTATTTTTAGTTTTTGCCCTTGGGCCCCAGCTTCTAGTTCTCCACGGATTTCTGGGTTGCTTTAAATCATGACTCACTTGCTCACACGTTCTGCTGACAGATTCTTGTTCATCAGGATGTTGGCGACCCTGGATGGAAGAGAGGAAAAACATCATACGGATATCGTCGGTATAAATAAATAGCTTTATATGGCATATTATTTAGATGAGTTGCTCTATTATAATAATTTTAGAAATAGTATTATTTATCTACTTGAACAAGGACACCGTGGGAAACAAAATAGCTCCTTCAGCAGTAGTAATTATTTTGGGCTGCACTTGAGCCAGGCTGTCAGAATACTGGGCCTTGTGTGTTCTACTTTTTCCACCTTCTACTTTTACTCGTAAACATCCTGAATGTCCAACCTCTCCCCGTAAGATCCTGTGCCAGTGGGCACACCCCTTCTAACAACGTGCCGATTATCTGAGACTTACTGCCTTCTTTTTAGACTGGAGTGCCTCCCCTAGACGTCTGTTTCTTTATTTTTAGCTGTATTCCTGAGCCTGTGGGGAGAACACCGAAACCACACACACACACACACACACACACACACACACACACATTTTAAGTCCTTGAAAAGCCATCATTTTTATTTCTAACACTTGAAGAAAAAAAGATATTTTAAGAAATAAAATGGCAGAAAAACATTGAGAAATGATGTTCTCAATGGTAGTGAACACCTCATGCAGACACTCCAAATGAGAAATATAAAGAGGGGGAAGGGCTGTTTGTATTATAGCAATTGATAATAAAATTTTGTGCTTACTTGGCGAAGCTCAAGCTGAGTTCCAGACACATTCTGGTTTCCTATTGCAGTGTCATTATTCCTATCGTATTAGACAGTGATTGATTTATATTTTACACCAGAAATCACTGAAACCTTAATATAAAACCATATTCATGAATGAATGATGCCAGATAGAATAGTAATGTCCTCATCTGGATCTTTCTATTCAGAGCTTGAATCTGGAATGACTATAAGTGTCTGAAATGCCACATTTGTAATTTTGGTGAATTATAGTGTGAAAAGACTTCATATTCTGCTGTAAACATGAGTTAGGTTTGACTTTGTCGGGAGGCTGCAAGAAGGCTGTGAACACAGGTGGGTTTTTTTTTTAATATTTTTTTTCCTGCTTAATAGGTTCTTTCTTATCCAAAGAAGCTTACTAAGCAAATTGTTTTTTTAAGGTTTACAGATTCACATTAACTCATTATTCACATTATTCATTTAGGGCTCACCAGTTTCAAAAATTATAATAGAAAATGCCTTGCGCAAGAGCACTTCATGATTTTAAAGATCTGCTAAAGCTGAAGTTAATAGTATGTTAATGAATAAGTGAATTCAGTTATTACTCAGTGTGCCCAGCATGGTATACAGCATTTTTACATGTGAATAATTTATGAGACTTCCCTTAAAGTTTATAATTTCAAAGCACAATAAGACAAAAAGTGATACAACATAGATAAAATGTGCTAAACCCACCATGAAAGAGACACAGTGTTTGTAGTTCTGGGGAAGCAGGGAAGTAGAACAGCTTTGACAGAAAAAAGGAAAATGAGGGTAATTGCGAGGAATCTAGTCCATGAGAAATTCATGTGGAGCATGGAAAAGTTTAGAGTAAAACAGTAACCAGGGTCTTTAGATGGAATTATTTAGCAGTTCTTCCTACTTTAGTTCCCTGAAGCTAGCTGGATTTCATCCAAAATATTCTAACCAAGACTTGAATTTGTATCAATTCATTAGGGCTAATCAGAGAGACAGACTGAGAAAAAATGGTCCAAGAGGGAGAGCTGAAAGTTTAGGGGGAAAGGAGGTTTGACTATAGGAAATCATTTGGAAGGAGGATGAAAGACAGTGGAATTAGAACCAGGTTGGGATGGAAAAGGTGGATTGGACAGAAGGAAAGAAACAGGTTAAGTAAGAGGAGGAGAGCGGAAACCGGGAGAAGCAGGACACGGAATAGAAGACTAGAGCAAGAGCCACCTTCCCTGCTCTGTCCCTCAGTGGCTTTCTCCAATGCCCTTGCATACCTCAGATTATTTCCGTTTATTATTTTTTCTTTTATTTACTTTACAAAGTAATAATTGGTTGCATATAACTTAAAAGTTGTATTGGTCCTTCCTAAAAACATTTTTTTTTTTAGCTTTGTATCTAGCAATTTAAATGCATCCACCTTCTGCCTCTAGTTTCTTAGAGCATCATGGCTGTGGGCATGACTGGGTAATAAAGCTACTCTGTCACATGCAGGGCCTACACCCACACACCCTGGTCATTTCTCCTTTCCAGTGGTGTATCTAGTCTGTGCTTGGCTCCCTGCAAGGCACTGAGAATCGAAAGAATTGGATTACAGTGTACAGTATACAGTACAAGGAACTTAGACCATGCAAGGGCTGGTGCGGATGCTGAGAAACTGGATTTTTATACATTGCTGGGTGGGGAGGGGGTCTTATAAAATGGTACAACCGTTATGAAGGGAGTTTGACACTTTCTTATAAAAGTAAACTGCAGCGGCCATATGACCCAGAAATTGCATTTCATTTTCTAAATAAAAATTTAGATTCATGTAAAAACCTATGCACAAATGTCCATAGCAGCTTTATTTGAATAGCCAAAAACTTGAATTAGCCCAGATATTCTTCCACAGGTGACTAGTTAAACAAACTGTAGTATATCCATACCAGAAAACACTATGGAGCAATACAAAGAAACAATCGATACACATAATGACTCAGATGAATCCCTGGCAAATTATGCTGAGTGAAAAAAAAAATGCCAAAAGGTTCTCTGGCATATGATTCCATGTATATAACATTTTTTAAATGACAGAATTTTAGATTTGTTGTTATCAGGGGTTAGGGATGGGGTGGGGACGGGGTGGTGTAGGTGGGAGGGGGTGATAGTTATAAAAGGGCAGCATATCCTTCTATCACTTTGCCACTAAAGGCAACATAGCACCTTATATTTTTTGGTGATCTGACTGTACAGTTTCTTGACTGGGATGATCAATACATGAATTTACACAGGTGATCAAATTTTAGAGAACTAAATGTACAAACACTCAGATGAGCACAAGTGAAATTGGGGAAATATGACCAAGATAGGAGGGTTGTATCCTGGTATCTACATTCTGTGCCCTATTGTGCTTATATATTTGTGCTTTAATATACTGTACCGTTCCAAACTATACTGTAGTCTGAAACATGTTACCACTGGGGCAAATTTGGTCTTTTGATCTGTGTGTCTCTCCTTCCACCAGTACCACACTGTCTTAGTTACTGTAGCTGTATAGTAAACTCGAACATCAGATAGAGTTATTCCTCCAATCTTATTTTTTGTTGTCAAAAGTGTTTTAGCTTTTCCGGGGCCTGTGTCTTTTCATATAAATTTTACAATCCAATTGTGTAACCTATAATAAACTTGTCTGTAATTTTGACAGGAATAGCATTAAGCTTGTAGATCAACTTGGGGCAAATTAAAATCTTTATTATATGGGATCTTATATCTTATGTCTCTATATTTGTTAAGGTCTTTGATTTTTTTTAAATCAACATTTTATCATTTTTGGCATAGAGATGATATACTTGTTTTATTAAATATGTATCTTTCTTTGGAGTGATTATAAATGGTATTGCTTTTAATTTCAATTTCTGCATGTTCATTGTTTGTATACAAAAAAAATGAGATTGATTTTTGTTTTTGATTAACCTTTATCCTGCTATCTTGCTGAATGCAAGATTCTGGGAGTTTTTGTGTGTGTGTGTGTGAATTTCTTTGTATTTTCTATATGGACAATCCTGTCATCTCTAAATAGGGACATATTATTTCCTCATTTCCAATGTGTATGTTTTTATTTCTTTTTCTTAGCTTATTACAATAGTTAGAACTTCCCATATTATGTTAAGCAAGAATAGTAAGAGTGGATGTCCCATGTTACAACTTACGGAGAAAACATTCAGTGTTTCACTATTAAGAATTGTATTATCGGGGCACCTGGGTGGCTGAGTCGGTTAAGCATCTGACTTTGGCTCAGGTCATGATCTTACGGTTCTTGGGTTCGAGCCCCGCATCGGGCTCTGTGCTGACAGCTAGCTCAGAGCCTGGAGCCTGCTTCAGATTCTGTAACTCCCTCTCTCTCTGACCCTCCCCTGCTCACGTTCTCTCTCTCTCTCTCTTTCTCTCTCTCTCAGAAATAAATAAAAAAAAATTATCTGTGAGTTTTTTGTAGATTCTGTTTATTAAGTTGGGGATATTCCCTTGGATTTCTAACTTTGCAAGAGTTTTTTTTCATGAATGGCTATTCGATTAACCTAGTTATTAGACCTCCCTTTTAATCTGTTTTATATATAAAATCATCAAATCCCCAAAAGGATTTTAGCAAGTTTGCAGCCTATGTACAAGTATAGTATAAAGTCACATAATATAAAAGAACATAACAAAAGAACGTAACATAACTTGAAAGACACTGGTAAGATCAGAAAAGGGAAAATAAATGAAGTCATAAACAAAATTCGTCGAGCAAGTACATAAGTTTCTGAACACTTGCTAGCATTGCATCATGGTATCACTGAATTGGATTCTAGTTTTCACATTCAAAAGCTTCTTTAGGACCTTCCAAATTCTTTAGAGCAAACCCTCTACTTTATTAATACTGATATCCATTGACCCAGCACACTATGCAAGCATCGACAAATGATAGCATAATTTAATTAACTTCCAGTTCATTCACTAATTGCGTGACTATTCGTTTACCTCTGTCTAAAGAAATCTGTGTTTCAACTTGTACTCTATAAGAATGTTTATGTCAAACACATTATCTTAACACTTCTGATATTAACCTTGATTTAAGCTTCCCTCTAAAACATCTCTGTGCAAATCTACATCTGTGCTTTTATTAGTATTCTCATTTATGGATGGGAAAGTGGGCAGAAGAATGACACTAGTATTCTTTTGGACTGTAAGACTGCTTATGTGTTTTCTTTTTTTCTTTTGACCACAAAAGAAGTTCACAAAATTGATACCATGTCAAATATTCTTCTAGCTAGTGGATTTTTTTCCCCTGAGAAGATAACGTGTTATACAGGTCCCCTTTAAGAGTAAGGGAGGAATGTCAAGAAATACAGTTCTTCCATTAATATAGCTGACTGTTTTCCTTTCTTCAGTTTTGGTGAATACTCACAGTATTGGGGTTTCAGGTGAACTGTAATATTGCTATAGCCTCTAGACTTTTCTACCACAGTTATACATGGAGAAAAACAACTACCCCAATCAGCACAAAATGTTTCTGCTACTGAGAATCTGGGTTTAAAAAAAACTACCTATTAGTATTGTAGTTTATAAGAGCCTGTGCTTTAGAATCACAGAAACCTGCTTCTGGGTTGTGTTTTTACCAAAGGTCAACTTTATGACTTCAGGGAAGTTACTTGGCCTTTCTAAGCCTCCATTTCTTTTGTTGTAACATGGTAGAAAATATTTCTGCTGCATGCAGTTACTTGAAGATTAAATGAGATCATCCATGTAAAATCACTAGCACAGTATCTGGCCCAGTGCAAGGATACTTTAAATGTATACATGTTAGCTATATTATTATTTCTGAAATCCTTTATGATTTGCACGCAGCTCAGATGTAGCAAGGGTTTTGAAATGTCTTTTATAAATTTGAGTTCCCCTCAGGACTGTCCCAGTTCTGATTCTTGTGTACCCTGAAGGATGTGAAAAAGTATTTTGACCTCAGTGAGATTAGCTAGATGGGATCTATACTAGTATTGTGCAAATTAAGTGTGTGTTGTGTGTTAAATTCCTGGTAAAAAATAACATCACCTTCAATAGATGTTACCGTCTATTTCCTATACTCTCCCTTTCCCCTCAGAGAATATGATCTTACACCAATAAAATAATGAAGTAGGGACTGTGGTCCTTGAAAAGAGGGGTAAGGTCAAGTTACATTCATTTCCCACTCTACAAACCACTTGCTTTTCTAAAGGTATTCATCTATGGCCTATGATGTTTATATTCACATAGTTGTAATATTACACATATTATCATACTGTCATATCGGAAGCCTAAAGATCGATGTTAATAAAGGCTAAAACAATTGGAAAACATTCTCATAGTCTGATCTGGCTACCAAATGAATCTGAATCCTACTAGAATATATTGTTATATCTTCTTGAGCATATAGAGACAGCAGTATTTCTTTAAAAAAAAATTTTTTTAAAGATTTAGAAAACAAGGGCAAAACAATTCTTTTAGATATTAGCAAAATAATATTTTTATGTTATACCGTTTCTGTTTAAAGACTGTTCTGCCTAAGATGGTTGATTATATTGCTATGTAACTCAAAGAACATCAGAGCTTTTTCTTACTAGAAATTCTGCCTTAGTCCTTTTCCTTGCTTGATAAATGAGGGGCTGTCCCTTGGATTTTCAGGAAAAGAGTGTACTCAGGATGAATACACAGCTGCTGCCATCTTTACTGTTCAGATGGATGACTATTTGGGTGGCAAGCCGGTGCAGAGTAGAGAACTCCAAGGCTATGAATCTACTGACTTTGTTGGCTATTTCAAAGGAGGACTGAAATACAAGGTAAGCAGCTCTCTTGAACTGTTTTCAAATTTTTAAAATGTTTTATTTAATTTTGAGAGAGAGAGAGACAGTGTGAGCAGGGGAGGGTCAGAGAGAGAGAGAGAAACACAGAATCTGAAGCAGGCTCCAGGCTCTGGGCTGTCACCACAGAGCCCAATGTGGGGCTCGAACCTACAAAACTGTGAGATCACGACTTGAACAGAAGTCAGATATTTAACCGACTGAGCCACCCAGGCACCCCTGAACTGTTTTTATGACCTCCTTTCTCTTCTGATCCATCCACACCTCATGACTCCATGGAATGAATGTTCAGGGAGGACGGCTTTTTGCTTTGGTTTTGTTTCAATCTATTTCTTTACTGATTTATACCGGTACCTGCTGGACACACAGTAGGTACTCAATAAAAGTTGTGGAAAGTCGGTGTAATATGGGAAATATTCTGACTTAATGTCATTTCATAGGTCAATTTTTAATAAAGTTAAGAGCTCTCAGTAATGTTGTCACAGGAAAGCCCTTAACAATTTTGTGGAGTTACTTTAGTAATTAAGTTTTGACAACTTGGGTATTAACTTTTTTTTTAATATTTTATTTATTTCTGAGAGAGAGAGACAGTGTGAGTAGGGAAGAGTCAGAGAGAGAGGGAGACACAGAATCCGAAATAGGCTCCAGGCTCTGAGCTAGGTGTCAGCACAGAGCCTGATGCGGGGCTCGAACCCATGAACCGTGAGCTCATGACCTGAGCTGAAGTCAAGCGCTTAACCAACTGAGCCACCCAGGCGCCCCTTAATATTTTTTTTATTCTATCCTAGAGAACCTCTGAATTTACTGCAAATAACCCAGGACTTGGAATCTGTTTTTCTGGAACATGTTAATACAATATAACAATTATAATTCCAGTTAATAGCAAGAGCTATACGCACATTTCCCAAATAGTGTGGGTTGATCTTGGAAATGATACAAATGAAACAACATGGAGTTGAATCTATGTGTGGTTCAGCCTCACAAAGTCAAATATACATATACTACCACACACACATGCACACCATTTATGTTTTTTGGTTAGAAACACTAATCATCAACTGGCTTTGCTTTTGGTTAAATCAAAAACAGAAACAAGTTAAATAGTTTTCTCCTTTTAAGGCAACCTTCAATGAAGGACAGACTTTTTTCTGGAATTCTCTCTGTGACTCTTCTAGACTGGACACCCTTCACAATCCTCCTGGCCCCCAAGAGTGTTCGGTTAAAGCGTAAGAAATACCTCCCTAGACCAACAGCTTAGAAGCAATCTTTCAAAATCAAACCTGCTCTAACAAGTGTTCTGCAGACCCCCCCCCTCACCCTTTGAGCATGTTAGCCTTCTGAAAACCTAAAACCTCAGAGCTAAACCAGAATTCTGAATATATATTAAATTTGTCTACTACAATGACAAGATTTGTTTCTACTTTTACCTGATCAGAGCCTTAGTGAATATTTTGTGATTCCATTGTGATGAGAATAAACACTTAACAAGTTCTCTTCTCTCTTAAAATCATTTCTCTATTAAAAATCAGACTCTAGGCTATGAGCAACCCTAAATATGAAACCATTACCTCCCGTTTTATTTAATTCTCATGAGTTCCTACAGTTTATGTCAATGAACTCAACATTTTGAATAAGCCAGGTCTTATAGTTACTAACAGCATATACTATGACATCATCTCGGTGATAAACCCATTTCTGCTACATATAACTTGTTTAGCTCAGGGCAACTATGCAAAGTTTCTGTGCTCAGTTTCCCCAAATACATAATGAGCATTAAAAAAGCTTCCTCATACAGGTGTTATAAGGATTGAAGATTAAATAATAAAATACATATATAGTGCATATGCAATCAGTAAGAACTTGTGATATTAATCCTTTAGTCCTCTTCTGGACTACTGAAATCAAACTTCTGGATATATATTTAAAAGTGGATATAAAAAACAGTTTTATAGTTATAAGATAATTATCTTCTAATTATCAATATCAAAATCAGCACAAATCAGCATATTTGAGAAAGAAGATATTTCCAAATGGAGGTCAAATTTATCAGCAAAAAAATCATTTCACTGTCATGTCATTAGTGACATTGAGCAGATAACAACATGTGCAATTGTAAAGTACTTGGTAGGAAATATGGAAGCAAAGATAACTTGCCACCCAGAATAGCAGACTATTATGTTATACTTAATTTCATGCTTAAAACAATATGCTAAGCACTTCATGTGTATTATCTCATTTAATCCAAGTAGTGCTCCATGCTGCAGTTTCTAAAACTGTCACCCTATTAAGGTAAGTAAGCACAATCTTTGAGAAACGATTTAACTTACCAGGGTCTAATAGCTGTTAAGTGCCTGGGTGACCAGATGACTTCAGTCCCTAAGCTGACAATCATTATATTATGATGCTCTAAACATAAATAAATGGTTCAAATATCACGATGATTTTCTTACTTAAGCTTACTCTATGCAACAGGGTATTGTGTCTGTTTGGAATGGGCATAGTTTGGCAAAGCCTACCATTACCAAGCCAACAACAGCCATATTTAGTTGCCATGTATAATGTAAAGATTGAGCTAGGCAACATTAAGACCATCTTCTCATGTCATTTAAATGATGTGAGTTTTTTTTTTTTCTTTATGAGGTTTTTAAGCAGGTTGGGGAGGGCATTATAGATAACTATTATTTACCACTACTCCCTTATATTAAATCTCTGGTGAATCACACCCTTCCCAAGCTGAACAAGACCAAGACCCAGCTCAGCCATGATTGTAATAGTGACCATGAAACATCCGTCAGTCAGCAAAACTTTTTATGGTGCCACTGATTTAGAGGATCATGCACCTTGCTTTCATTCTGCCTTGTGAAGGTAGAAAGAGACTGGGAGTTTCTAGGGTTAATTCAAACACTATTCCAGAAGCACTTACTATCAAATACAAGCACATATGTAACTTACAGTTTTCCTTTTTGTGCCTTTTTCACATCAAATATTAAAAAAAATAATTTTTAAAATAATGTTAAGTGTTCAGACTGTTAGCAGTCTGTTGATTCACTATATGACACTAGCCTAAATGCTATGTAAGTATCCTCGGTCTAAGTCTGTTTTGTATTTTATAACTTTTCTTAAATCACAGTGTTTTTACACTGTTTTTCAGATCATAATGTATTTATTTTTAAAAAAGCAAAATGACACACATCATTATACATTGTTCACATTGAAAGAATGCACAAGTGAAATGTAACTTAAATTAAGGACTTTGGGTCCTTAATAATAATGTGTCATTATAATATGTCATTATAGGTTCATCAGTGGTAACAAATTTAACACTCTGGTGAGGAATACTGATAATGGGGGAGGATATGCATGTCGGGTCAGGGATATATGGAAAATTTCTGAACCTTCCCCTCAGCTTTTCTGCTACACTTAAACTACTCTAAAAAATAAAGTCTTCATATTAAAAAAATGTGAAATGACCAAGAACAGTAGTATATAGATGAAAACTTGTAATTATTTTTATTGTATAATACTTAGTTTGTTCATTTATGGTATTTTTTGTAAAATTATGGGCTGAGGAATTATTATGTGTTTCTTAAAATTTGTGGTTACAATGGTCTCAAAGTCAGAATTTAGCCCATAGTAATAAAACCTTTCTATTCATGAGGGTCTTTTCCTAGAGAATGGTGAAAATTTAAACTCAGTGGATATTTCAAGAATGTGCTGATGATTACATAGGCAGCTTAACTTGTTTTTTTGAATTTACTGTGTATGTTTATGTAATAAATTTGAAAATTGGATTATTTTACAGGTTTCCTATACTGCTAATTTTCTTACCATATTATTGTAGGAGGCTTTGAGCAATAAAAGTGATTTTCTTACACTCTGTATTTATTATGCACGTTGCCTCATAGTTATGGAAATAAATAAAGATTATTGTTTCTAACATTATAGAAAAAAAGAAAAGTTAAAAGCTGATTTCAAATAATGTAAGAAGATGTATTTGATATGGTTAATTATTTTCGTTAACATATTTTACTTAAATTTTTTTAATATTTGTTTATTTTTGAGAGAGGCAGAGTAGGAGAAGGGGAGGGGCAGAGAGAGACGGAGACAGAATCCAAAGCAGGCTCCAGGCTCTGAGCTGTCAGCACAGAGACTAACTCCTGGCTCGAATTCGCAAACTGTGAGATAATGACCTGAGTTGAGGTCAGATGCTTAACTGAATGAGCCACCCAGGAGCTCCAATCTTTTAACATTTAAAAAAAAATTTTTATGGTTTATTTATTTTTGAGACAGAGAGAGACAGAGCATGAGCGAGGGAGGGGCAGAGAGAAAGGGAGATACAGAATTGGAAACAGGCTCTAGGCTCTGAGCTGCCAGCACAGCCCGATATGGGGCTCGAACCCATGAACTGTGAGATCTTGACCTGAGCCGAAGTCAGATGCTTAACCGACTGAGCCACCCAGGCACCCCTCTTTTAATATTTTTTAATTGAATATTTTATTTTGTTTTGTTTTGGGATGTGCAACCAAATTTAGGGTATAAATACTCAGGTCTGAATTTCCAGGAATAAAAGGAGAAAAGATTTTTTTAATAATGTTGTAACAAAGACCATAAGTTGGATCCTCCCATACCTGGCCAGCACTCAACTCCCCTTTCTGTCCTAACACTGTGTGTGACATGGGAATTTTGGGGTGTCTAGTTCTCTCCTGTGTTGGTCCTGTTATCTCTGACTGTCCCTGATTCTCCTGTCTCCTTCCCTGATGTTTTATCTGTCTTCTCACTCAGTGATTTGAGAATCATTAGTTCCCAAAGGACAAGAGCTACTGCTTCCTTTCATTTATGTAACAGGTTTCATGCACTGAAGGGTTTTAGTAAATACTTGCAGTGTTAAATTGAAAGGTTAAAACAGGAAAGACAAAAGGCCTTAAAAAAGTGTTGATTTGCCAAGTCATTCTCTTCTGCATACTTAATTTTTCACATGCTCATAAGTGGCTGTTTTATATTGGCCTGGCAGGCAGTTTTGGCTTGTACACCTGTGGTTTTATGTTTTTGTATTTAGTTAGAAGCCTCATCTGTTTCTGTTTTGTTTTCTGTTTTCCTTCCACTGATCAGGCTGGAGGTGTGGCATCTGGGCTAAATCATGTTCTCACAAATGACTTGTCCGCTCAGAGGCTCCTGCATGTGAAGGGCCGGAGAGTGGTCAGGGCCACAGAAGTTCCCCTTAGCTGGGACAGTTTCAACAAGGGTGACTGCTTCATCATTGACCTTGGCACGGTAAGTCATATACACATGCAGTCTACTAAAGGAAAGCGAATTGTCTTAAAATCAAATCCAACATACCTGCCATAGAAGATAATCCCCTTTTCTACACACTAGAAAGAGGTCATGTTTATGAGAGAGGCAATCATATCATATGACGAATTGGCAAGTATTTAAAGTTTTATTTTCTTTGATAGGTTTAGAATGGGGTAGTGATTTAGTTCTTCCTACCATAGAACACGCATTGAGTAATTTTTAATAGATTTACCCTTGTGTCTGAACAGAGCTTCCGCTAATTATTTCTGTCCTTAATTGGGTGTGGGAAAACATTATGTGAAGCGAAAATTGATTTCCCCGGAAAGCAAAGGTTCTAGAATTTCAAATGGACACAGAATGAGTTCATCTGCCTGAGGAGTTTTTAGGGGGTATTATAGTATATATATCACACATACAGTGCACCATATTATTTCACACTTTTTAATTATTTTAAGGTTGTTAAAAGGCACAAGTACAAATATCAAGTATCATCTTAATGGAATGGGCAGTATCTGACTTACATTTTCTTCCAGGAAGAGAGGCTCCTCTAAGTTCATGTATACTTATTAATCAGTGTTATCTTAAAAAGCAGTATTATTGCAAGGACTCCAGGCTCATAAAATAGGGGCAGAGCCTGTATTAGGAGATTCAAGGACATTTATCTGTTTATTAGTAAATTATATTTTTTTATATAGTTAATTACCTTTAATGACTTTCAAGCTATCTCTTGCTTTCATGCCTGGTTAGAGACATTTGGAGTAACTCTGTTGTAGAGGTAGTTGGGTTGGATTATCTCTTATTTATAGAAATATTCTACATCCCAAAGGGATACCCTGGTAGGAAACAAGCATTGGAGTACTACATACACTCTTTTACTCACATGATCTCTTTTTATGTTACTAACCTTTAACCAGTTGGTGTTTTGCCAACAATTTCTAAATGGTGATAAGATCTTGCAATTACCTTGGAGATTTTATTTTTGGGGTGTGTCACAGTCAACTAAGAAGCACATCGGAACAAATTTTTCTCTATTATAATATTTTAATAGGTGTAATTGAGTTCACAATTTCATAGGCACTTTCTGAATTAGCACAAAAAGAAGCCAGTGCATTTTCTTCAAGTTTGTTTTATTATACAAGTATGAAAAAATATAGGTTAGACATCTAAAGCTCTCATCTAACTAGAGCCACCTGGTCAAGACTAAGGTTATGGGTATAACCTAAATCCTGTATTTTGATTGTGTTTGTGGGAAGCCAACCTTTTTGATAAATAATCACTATCATTAATATGATATGCCATATACCTTAGAAACATTTGCTATTATAGGATGTGGGACTACAGTAAATATTTCCTAGATATGACAATTTAAACCACCTTGATTAAAAGCATGAGATTGTAAAATGACCCATTTAATCACTTTGAAAGTTAAAATCATTGACATTTTAGAAGATAATTTAAATCAACTATGTTATATTCAATGTGTTTTCATAAAATAATATGGAACATGGCTAGATTTTAGGAACCTGGAATGTACTGAATCTTTGGAGAGGTGCTTTTGAACTGTGTATTTTAATATTGGTGAATTTATTAATCATCATTTCCCCACTATTTTTAAAGCTGTGAGGTAGCTGAGGTAGTTGTAGAAATGACCTAATAAAATCACATCTAAATATATTGCAACAAAGCCATCAGTAACTACAGAAGGCGGATGATAATGAAAAAAAGTCCTTATTCCTAAAGCTTGGGATCTGGAGCTCTTTCAGAAATATGTGTCAGAGTCAGCCACTAGGGGAGAGTTGGATTTCACAGGAGGAGGAATTTCTGTGGTGAGTTACTAATTGTGCTGTTGGGCATGTTCTGTTTCCTTGTTAACTTGTTTGGTCAGTTATGCAGCTTTGCCCCACTCGCCTTGCTATTTATAACCTCTCGCCCCCTCATTGTTCCCTCCTGCTCCTTTGAAACGTCAATCTTCACTTCCTCATTTATCAGTTGGTCTGCAACCCACACTTCCTGACTTTGACTCCCACCATTTCTCTGAATCTGTTCATCTTATGGGTAATAATACCTTCTGCTGAATCTAGTGGACATTTTGCACATTACACACTCCATTCCTGTGCTGCAGTTGACACTGTTGATCAACCCCTTCTGCTTCAGCGTCACTCCTCCCCTGACTCCCTTCTTCTCTTCCCTTTTAAGCCATTTTTTTCTCATCCTTCTTTTCCTGGTGTGCTCACCCCTTCAAGTCTTTTTTTTTTTTAAGGATTCTACTTTTGATCATTGTCTCTTTATTCATTCTTACTAAACAAACATATCCTCACCCAAAGCTTCAACTACTCACCCATTGGTAAATCTCAATTTTATGATCTCCCTTGGACCTCTTGACTAATCTCTATGTCAGTATTTCACACTACCTCCCAGATATTTCTTGTGTGTATCACAAGAACCTCAAACTGGACAAGTCTAAAAATGAAACCCACATATTTACCCTCTGATTCCAAAATGATTTCTTATCTTATTGTTCTTATCATGTTGAATGGAGCTACCAGTCATTCAGACCTCCAACCCCAAATCCAGAAGTCATCCAGATGACTTCTCCCAGGGGCTGCACATTCAGTCAACCACTAGGTCTACTCTCTTCTACCTCCTAAGTGTCTCCTGAATCCTTCCCATGCTCTTCATCATCATGGTACTGTCTCATTGCCCTGAGCATGAGATTTCCCCTCAAGTCACCATGCTTTTTCTTTTACACATACTGTTTCTTTTGCCTAGAATCCACTTTTCCTCTGCAACACTTTTCTTTGGTCAGCATCCCATTATCATCTCCTCCTTAAATATTTAACTCTGATACTGCTTCTTTATAATGTGTTCCTTGACTTCCCTTCATCCCCTGTCCCACATCGCACTCCTGTAGAATTAGGCAAGTTTTTATCTCATATTTCTTATTACCTTGCAGACTTGCCTTGAGAATTTTCCATGCTGCCTGTCCTTATTAGCCTTACTCACTCACTTTGTCCATAGTATAAAGCCCAGAACTTAAAGTCACTCAGCAGATGTTTCAACAAATGTATGTCTGTCCAACATAGAGCGTTAGTCTCATGCAGTCATGTATATAGAGATATAATTCTCTTTTTTCACTGTGGCTCAACTTGACTTTAGAGTTAAGCTTCTATTGCTACAGAAGGGTTAAAAATAAAATAATCTTGCCCTATTAAGGTGAGCTTTGTTTATCATTAAAGCAAATCATACTTAGCTCATGTATCCCCTTTTCCATCTGTCAAGTACAAGGGATGCGTGTGTGATATTATGGACTGGGGATGGGAGACCAGGTTAAGAATGGAAATGAGTCTGGTTTGCAGGCTTTAGCCCTCACTCCTCTCTGTCATTTATTGAGTCTCAGCCCTTTCATTCATTCTTGAGCTTTGGGCTTTAGGCTTTGGGCTTTGGCCTCTGTCAGAAGATTTTTTCTGGAAAACATCCATGGCCTTATTTGGTCTTCTGGTATGCCCACATATCCACTGCAAGACCCTTTCTGGTTTTTTCAACCATTCCAGTAGCTCTTCAGGAATTCTGCCTTATTTTTCCATACCACAGGCAGTTGTGGGGACACTGTACCCACAGTGAGTCAGTAGCCATTGGTCTGATTGCCTGGACACTGGTGTTTCTACTCTAATGCTCAGGATCATGGATGAATAAATGACAAATGTGTTGGAGGAGAATGTACTGAGCTCTTCTCAAAGATTCATTGTATCTGATCAAATTTCTTGTCATCTACGTATCTGTCTTTGGACCTGACAGATCATTCTGGCACCATTTCACAGTGCTGCCTACTCTGTGGTTCCTGCAGTACACTCTAGCCCCTCAGGCCAAGACTCTGGTTCTTGCTGTACAAAACCAAATTTCTATAAATTGCTGTATCCTTATTCCTTCCTTTAGAGAACTTTTACAAAATCAAGGCTCTTTTAAATTAAACCTATGTTGGTTTTCAGACTTTTGTGTCTGCTATGACTTAAAAATGTTTATTTTAGAACAAAAAAAAACTAGACAAAATCTTTGTTCTGGATAAATTTGTCCTTACCCAAAAGTAATGCATTCCACTAGACTGATGGGGGAAAAGCCTTGAGGCAGCAAGAAAAGATAATGGGAAAGATAAACCTAATGTTAAGTCTCTAAAAATTTACCCCGCAACAAAAGAGGGATGAATGATAGTTATTGTACACTTAGTGTGTGCTGGATACCTAAGTATAAAGGTGAAAACCAGCTAACCTTTGACCTTCAGGTGCTCTCAAATGGTGAGAGGCACAGACACATACACAGCTTGGAGTATGACAAGGTAGAAAGTGAGAAGTGCCGGAATGCAGACACAGACACATTACAAGGGCACTGGGAGAGACAACTCCAAGGTATTGGGATTTATGTTTTAATTCCCACAGTTTCACATTAGGATCACTAGAGATTTTTTTCATTGTTTCAAATGTTTCTATATTTTTGAGAGAGACAGAGAGAGACTGTGAGAAGGCGAGATGCAGAGACATAGGGAGACACAGAATCCTTAGCAGGCTCCAGGCTGTGAGCTGTCAGCACAGAGCCCGACAGCCAGGCTTGAACTCACTAGCCGTGAGATCATGACCTGAGCCAAAGCCAGACGCTTAACTGACTGAGCCACCCAGTTGCTCCATCACTAGGAATATGTTTTTAAAATACTGATGACTGTGTGATCTGACCCCTACAATTTTTGGTTTTAAAGTTTTGGGGTGGAATTGGGTATAAGTAGTTTTTGGGCCTCAATCCGGGTCATTTTATTGTACAGTTCATATTGAGAAACATTTCAATATGGAAAATGTCTGAAGGTGCTGGAAAATTCAGGGTTATGTATCTGAAAAACCAGTAAATCAGTTAAAAATAGTTAAAATAGTTAAGTCACCAACTTACATGGGTGGCAGAAATTTTGATGAAAAGGGACTATAAAACTTCTTTGATTT